GGATCATTATGCTGACAATTAGTTTACAAGACTTGTAAATATGGAGGTGAAGTCTGTGAATATAAATAGGGATATAGGAATTAAGCTTTGCTTCAACAAAGACAATTCATGATAGCTCTTTTGGAAATGCTGCAATCTGTTAAAGCTGAAATGACATTAAAATACACATATTAAATATGTATTAGATAAATATTAAAACTGAAATATGAAAATTTTGGAGATCGTAATTGCATTTTTTGTTTTTCCTGATGTGTCTATTGATTTTTTTGATGACACCAAATTTCCCTCTTCTGATCTTTTAATGCCTAAAGAAATACAGCAGTACCAGAGTTAGTTGCATTATCGTCACATCCTCAGTGGGTTGTTCTGTTGAACTAGTGACTCACCTCACCTTCAGTATTTACAAAGAACATTTGGTATATCTAAGATATTAAGATAAGTAAATAGGTATATAAAACCAATTTCCAGTCAAATGTCATTTGAGACTTTGGAGTAAATATTGCATTATTTTATGTACTATCGTTTATTATTTGCACTGAATAAAAATAAGACTTTGACCTTCAGTGATTCAGTTGTTTTCTAGGACACAATGAAGGCTTTAGTAAATGTAATTTAATGGTCTAGGACATGGGTAAAAAGATGTGCAGATACAGACTGTAAGGAAAATGCTAATTATCTTAAATTTAATTACAGGAAAAGATCATGATGAGAATACATAAAAACCCTTGAAATGCAGCCAAAACATTTTCCAAAGAACATTAAAAATGATTGCTGTTTACTAATCACAGATGATGTAGACACAAAGCTGCAGCAAGAAACAGGTTTAAATTTCCCCTATGTGGGTAGCAGCAGAGAATCTGGGCCAGATGTACAGAAAACTGGGACCTTAGTGTTAAAGAAGAATAATTTCTTTGAGGCTGAAGCACAGGCTTCCCCATTACCTCGAAACTGTGCCAGCTGAACATGTCAACAGCCTCCATACATGACAGATGTCTCCACACAGACTTCCTCATCTGTGAGTACTGATGCACACAAAATTGCATGATCTTTGGGAGGAGTCCTGCAGCTTTTGATGGTCTCCTTTTGTGCTCAATGTAAAGTCTGAAGAGTACAGGTAAGAGAGAAGTGGTGGTAAATGCCAGCAGTATTACCTGCCCAATAACTGTGGGTGTTCAGGGGTTGCTCTCTTACATGTACCTGGGAGCTTCCTTTATCATGGCAAAGATGGAAAGTTTCACAATCCTATGTTTTCAGACAAGAAATACGTGGTAGCCAGGGGTGAAGCAGAAAAGTCTGTTGATTGAAATAATTGTTTGTGACAATTTATTTTCATCTTAGAACTCTGACTTCCATATCCCTTCAAAGTACTGATTTCTGAAAAGTCTCATTCCTATATTGTTCTATCCCAACCTGAATGTTGCCTGTTCAGACAAACTGAATCCCAGAATGCTAATTTTTTTTCCTATTAAATGTAATATTTGATATATTTGATAAATCACTACATTCAAATGAGAATTAGGAAGTTCAAAATCATAGTTTCCTTTCAGAACTTTGTCTTAAACCACTTCTTTACCGTCCGTTCCATTAAGGTAAAAAAGTGTAAGTAGCTGGGCTGGGTGTTTGTCTGGTTGACTTCCAATTGTCCTTCCTAGTTAAAGATGAATAGGAAGAAAAGTCAACAAATAAAAATATCCACAGAGACACACTAATGAGAATAGATTGGGCTTCTCACTCGTGTTTAACATCTAGCTGGTGTGTTTGAACCTTTATTTTCTCTAGAATACTACTATTTCTAAGACTGCTAGGTAGTCTGAACTTAAACTTCCCAAATCTCAAAGTGAGGTAAGTACAAAATGATACAGTAAGACAGAGGAGAAATCTTCAGATAATTCAAGGACAATCCTGTGACATGGGATCAGGATCATCTTCCTATGGTCTGTAGCACAGTACTTGAAATTATCACCCCCCTCATCCCACCCTTTTCCTTTTCTTATTGTCTTGATAGAGGAATTGATTATCAGGTGCCATTTAAAGTGAGACAAGGATAGAGGTCTGGGATACTGCAGGTGAGAAGGGCAGTACTGGAAAGGAAGGAGGTGACCAGGGGGCAGAGCATGGGCTGAATGCCGAGGCAGAGCAGTGCAGGTGAGCCTTGGTTCTGCATCCCGCACGTGCCTTCGGCTGACAGTGAGAGCTGGCCTGCCACTAACCCACCCCTGACATCTGTTGAAAAACACAATTGGAGAGTAATGACCCACGGACCACAGTTAGAAACCTCATGCAGCCTTGGCTGTGGATTTGGCATGTGCTTGCAGGATGCTTTCAGGGAGCTTTTGTTCTGACCTCTTAAGCAATGAGTGCGGTCAGCTGGTGTGGGGCTGGCCCCCATGCCCAAGTGGGAACAAAGGGAACTAGGGAAGAAAACAAGTACCTGTCAGAGCCCCTGGAAGGCTGCTTGGCCTGGGCGTGTTTGGGGAGAAAGGATTCATTATAATTTAGGCAAACCAGAAAACACTGTGGTTCATAGACCTTTCAGGCTGTGCTGCAACAGATGGTGTTGTTTTGGCTGGCGCAGGAGGCAGGTGTTAAAGCAACTTCCAGAGATAATGGAGCTGCAACCAGCAGAGTTGAAAAGAGTACAGAGAATTAGAAGGCGTAACACATTTACATGGAAAGAAGAAGAGGAGCTTTGAAATGAAACTTGGACTTTAAAGGCAGGCATCAAACTTGTTCGCTGCTTCTAGGCAGAGTCACTGGTGACTGGAAAAAGGGAAGCATTGCATGCATTTTTTAAAAAGGTAGAAAGGAAGACCCTGGGGACTACCAACCTGTCAGACTCACCTCTGTGCCCGGGAAGATCACAGAACGAATCCTCCCAGGGGATATGCTACAGCAAATGGAGAACAGGGACATGATTCAAGACAGCCAGCACAGCTTCACCAAGGGCAAGTCCTGCCTAAACATCTCAGTGGCCTTGTATGATGGAATGACTATTTCAGTGGACCAGGCAGAAGCCATGGATGTCATCTCTCTGGAATCTCTAGGGCCTTTGACAGAGTCCCCTACAACATCCGTCTCTCTGTGTTGGAGAGATGTGGATTTGAGGAGCGGACTGTTTGGTGGATGAGGAATTGGTTGGATGGTCACATCCAGAGAGTAGTGGTCAACAGCTCAGAGTCCAGATGGACGTCAGTGACAAGTGGTGTCCCTCAGGGATCCCTATTCAGACCAGTGCTGTTTAAGGTCTTCATCAGCCACATAAACAGTGGGATTAAGTGCACCCTCAGCAAGTTTACAGATGACACCAAGCTGTGTGGTGCAGTTGGCACACCTGGAGGATGGGAAGCATCCAGAGGGACCTGGACAAGCCCAAGAAGTGGGCCCATGTGAATCTCATGCATTTTAATAAAACCAAGTGCAAGGTGCTACACCTGAGTCAGGACAGCCCCCTATAGCAACACAGGCTGGTGCTGGATGAACAGATCAAGAGCAGCCCTACCAAGAAGGACTTGGAGGTGCTGGTGAATGAGAGGTGGAACGTGAGCTTGAAATGTGCATTTGCAGCCTTGACAGCCAGGATCTTGGGCTGCATGAAAAGCAGTGTGACCAGCAGGGTGAGGGAGGTGATCTGCTCGTCTACTCCACTCTCATTAGACTCCATTTGGAGTACTGCATCCAGCTCTGGGGTTTTCAGCACAGGAAAGATATGGATGTGTTGGAGCAGGACCAGAAGAGGGCCATGAAGATTGTCCAAGGGCTGGAGCATCTGTCTTAAGAAGACAGGCTGAGAGAGTTGGCCATTCCGTACTTAAAGGGGCTTATAAAAGGGGGCTTTTTAGCAGGGCTTGTTGTGATAGGACAAATGGTAATTGTTTTAAACTAAAAGGGGTAGATTTAGACTAGTTCAATGATTCTTACAGTTCAAAGAAGTTTGTTACAGTAAGGTTTCTTACAGAAGCTTCTTTCTGAAACGGGTTGCCCAGAGAGATGGTGGGTGCCCCATTCTGGAAACACTTAGTCAGGTTGGATGGGACTCCAAATAACCTGATCTAGCTGAAGATGTCACATGATCTTTAAATGTCCCTTCCAACCCAAACTATTCTATGACTCTAGAAGGAAAGGAGATATGATGACATGATCTGCTTCGGGCTCCCTCCGGAATAGTGTAAATTGCTGAAAATACATAACCTTGTCAGGACTGAGACATTGTAGTTATCATCTTTTATTGCTGATGTTTTCCATCCTCATATATCACTGAAAGAAGAGATTTGCTGTCTGAGAGAAGTAAAAGTAGTGAAAAAGGGGTGTAGATGATCCCTGTGCATGGTGATATTAATCCACTAGAGCACAGAAAATATGTTCAGACAGGTAATGGGTCTTCAGTCTGAAGAGGATCTTGTCTTCAGTGATTAATCCCAACCTGTCAGTTTTTGGGGTTTGTTTCTGTAGCTGAATTTTGGGTTATAAACCCTTTTTTGCCCTGTGATCCAGGGTGGATCCCAGACCTGCTGGGCTCCAAGCCTTGGGGGCAAGTGCCCACACAAAGCGAGGCCCTGCCTGAGAACCCTGCCCTGAGACACATCCTGCTTAGATCATGATCAGCATTTGCTGCTGTGACCAAATAGTGCTGCCTAGCTAACAGTACTCATTTCCTGATTAATTTAATGCTCACTTGACTGCAACTACTTGTACTGCAACGATGAGGACATACCTGATATTCAAGTGAAAGTCCCAAGGCTTGTCATACAGGCTTAATAGAAGGGCAGTATTGAATCTTATTAATTTTCTCTTCACATTAATTTGCCCCTTGGCAAATACCTGCTGCCAGTCTGTCCAATTTATGTTGTGATTCAGGCATAATTTTCCCCAAAGGGACACTTGAAATTAAAAAAAAAAAAACCAAGGCTATCACACTCTGCAGTAGTAAAGAAGTGCTGGATGCACCTGCACAGTTTTCTTCCAGGTCAAATACAGATATTGTTGCAACCTCAGGTCAAACAAGCCTTAAGAATGCAGATAGCAGTACATGTGATGCACATACAGTCATTGGTGTGTGCCCAGCTTCAGAGCCCCCAACTGAGAGAATGACTTTTTAGGTATTGCTTTCAAACTGTAATTTCAAGGGTTATTTAATCTTCTTCTTCTCTGTCTTATTTTAGTTAAATTTATTTTCATTGCATTGTGATGTATTTCATCATTGTTACAGCAAAAGTAAATAGTAGCACGGTTGCTACAATAGTTGCTATGTACAGATGATTAAAGTAGAAAATATTATTCTACTCATTTCCTTTCACTAAGTTAATGAAGAGTCATTGAAAGTCTCAAATGCCACTTACTGTTTAAGATGCACTTGGTGATTGTGTCAGCTGCTCACTTGGCAGATAGTATAAAGAAATATGAGCTACGTGTCCCAGCTAGGGAACTGTAATAATACCTTGGTTATTGCATCATGGGGATTCTTTTCCTCCAAGGATTGATGTGAATAGATTTTGCAAAATATTTTAGGAGTCTTTCTACAAATTTTTCAATCACTTAGTCTGCTCTTGAATATGTGCATGGATTATAACTGGTGTTTATGGATGAGCAGAAAAAATAATCGAGGAAATATAATGTCTCTTTTCTAATTTAGACTGCTGCAGTCAGTGCTGAATGTTGGTTATCATCTGCTAGGAAGATTGACGCTCAAATTGCGTAAATAGGCAACTAGAAGTCTCCCTTTACAAAGAGAGCTACAAAACTGCTTATTTTCCAGTGAATGAATGATACCAATACGTATTATTCTTGAAGTATAGTTCTATATTTTAAGTAATTTGGGGACTTCTCTTGCAATAGGACATTTTGCCTAAATTATTATGTCTACATACGGCAATATTGTGATACCATGCATGTTAAAACAGGTGCAGTACCAATTGCCTCTTAGACTTGTCTGTGGGAGGGTGAGTGATCCACTGTTTGAACTATCTCTGGTCTGTGAATATTGGTTTTGGCTGCTTGGCAGTCCCAAGCCCAAAAGTTTCAACATTTGAGATTGACATAACAAATGACAAAATAAACACACCAATCTTAAGGAAAAAAAAATCTTTCACAGAAACACAATGCAAAGAATATTTAAATTGTTTTGTTGTAGGGCAAAATGCTTACAGATTTAAACTGTCTGTCTGCATAAAAGCATAGGTATTTATACTTGATTTCTTTTTGTCTAGTCAGGCAGACTTTCCCCCCTTTCAATTTGCACTTACTATAATAGGAGCTTTGAGGAATCCTTTGTAGTTTAGTTTGACATGTAGTTTGTATATGCTTCACAAATTTAGAATATGTGGCACTAAAAACACACTAAAGGTCTCAATCTTACTGATTTTTCCTAGGCAAAGAAGGATGAAAAAATAATCTCATCATGAGTCTTAGGAAAAGTCAAAATGTATTCTTCCTTCCAAGTAGTGCATTTGCCTTGCCTCTGGCCTAAATTGTCAATAAAATGTGAGATTTTGCATGGCAGTTGGTGAGAAGTTAGCAAGGTGCTTTATTTCTTGGCAAGTATTATTGACATGAGATTTGAATACTGTCATTAGTTTAGAAAATTTTAATTGGCTTAATATTCAAGAATAGATGGGTCTTGTTTTCCTTCTTTGAAGTGTGAACTATCACAGCATAATTCAAGTTTGAAGAAAGCATCAGGGAGCTTGTAAACCAATCTCCTACTCAGAGTAGGGTGAACTATGAGCTCAGATGAAGCTACTCAGGATTTCTTTCCAGTTGGTCTTGACATCTTCCAAGGATGGAGACTATTCAGCCTCCCTTGGCAGTCTGTTCCACTGCTTCATTGTCCAAGAAGTGAGAAAAACTTGTGTGATAAACAATCTGGACTTCTCATTTCAGTTTATGCCTGTTGTCTCCTATTCTCCTATTATACACCACTGTGAAGGGCTGGCTTCATCTTCTCAATAACTTCCGTGTAGGTGCCAGGAGCTGCTCTCAGGTCTCACCAAAGGTGTGTCTTCTCCAGATGGAACAAGTCTAGCTCCCTCAGTTTGTCCTCATGAGGCAAGTGTTCCAGGCCTGACCATGTTGGTAGTTATCTTCTGAAACTGGTTGTTAATCAGTGTCTCCTGTGTATCAGAGGAAGTGCTGACTCGAGAGTGGCTGTGGTTATGGCATTCCTGTACCTGCAGCCCTGGGTGCTGCTGCCTGACTCTGCTGCCAGGGCACTGCTGGCTTCTGTCAGCTCATCCCTGCACACACCCAAGGCCAGTGCCCTGGGAGCTGCTCCCCAGCCATTACTTCTGCAGGAAGAAGGGGTTTTCATTTGTCCTTGTTGAGTTTCATAAGGCTTCTGTCAGCTCTCTCCTTCACCCTGTATAGATTTCTGGAATGGCAGCTCCGTTGCCAAGCATATTGATGGCTCCCACTGCTCTGCAGTGAGCTGCAAACCTCATGGCAGTGAGCTCTCCTACCTCCTCTGGGTCACTGATGACCTGGGTTACTGCTCACCACAGCTTGTCCCAGGGCAGACACCTGCATCTAACCAGCCTCTGGCAGAGCACAACCCATTGACCCAACCCTCTGAGCCCAACCAGCCAGTAAATTTTGTACCTACAGCGGCTGTAACATCCTTTCATGGATTCAGGAGTATTGTGGGAGATGTGTTGCAAGCCTTTCTGAAGTCAAAAGAGCCCACTTCTTTCCTTGTTTGACCTTTTACTTCAGAAGTATCGGTATTGTTTCCATGTTTTAAGTGCTGTTTGCTGACACTCTGTGTCCCCATTCTTCGGAAATTTTTCAAAGAGCTCTTTTGACTGGATCAGAATGTCTTCCAATGAGTGACTTGTCACTTTAATTTTAATGACTGAAAATCAGAATTAATTATAATTATCATTTAATAAAAGAAGTAAATGGAGATTTTTTCTGAAAAGGAGTACTAAAATTTCATAGTTTGTTCAATAAATAATTTCTTACTTCACCAGACTCTGTTTTAGGCTTTTAAGAAATACGTATCTGCAATGGAAGTTATTTTTATTAATTATAAAGACAAATTATAACACAAATTAATGGAAGGCTTTATTTTCATAGCAGTATCTTTTAAAAAGGTCATTCTTCACCTTCAGCCTCTGTTTAGGCCGATTTTTACATCTCTTCTTAGAGATATCCTGTCCAGCTAAGTCCTATTAGAATACAAAATTTCTACTTAAATGCAGTCCCTCAATTACATAGGTTAGGGATTTGACTGCAATCTTTGGAGGTAAGAAACTCTGCTATGTCTGTATGTACATGCACAAAAACTTGGATCTTTAAGACTAAAATACTGAAGAACCTGAATTTCATTTCCCAATATGGCAAACACTGCAGGTCAGGCTTCTAAAGCTGCATGGGTACCAAAGGATTTATGGAAGCACCGAGATTGTTAAAAGCATCTGTTTATCTACCTCCATCATATTTTACTTCTCTCAACTTTAGTCATCTTGAGCATGTAGTCAAATAGAGTATCTTAGATTTCCCCAGCTATCCAGAGAGAGAGACAGATCCATCACAAAGGGAATTCTTTTGCAATGCAATCCAGATATCTCCTAGATGGCTTGTGCTCTGTACAGTTTTAGATTCCATAGTGCTGCTGCAATTAAATATCAAATTGTATTTTTGACCAAATGAAATGATTTTATCTACCTAGTAATTTGATAATTTGATATTTAAGGCCTGAAAAATCCAATGCTTTTAAGCATTTACAAAATGATGTTTAGGAACTTTTTCAGCCCTGATTTTTATTTCCCATATTTATTGCAAAAGACCTGTAATTCTGAAAGACCTTCCAGACCCCTTTTTGCATGTAAAAGCAAAATGGAAATAATTAAAAATCATTCATAAATTATGTTAAAATATACCTGTATGTATTTTGGAAGGGATCTTCCTTTCGTAGTGTTTGAGTGGCAGTTTTCATGAGGGTAGCCATCTAGTTGTCTTCTGCTATGCGTGCAAGAAAACAGGAGCTTGGACCCTTTTCACTTCAGAGCTGGAATTGAAAACAGAATATGTGCACCCACTGCAGAACAGTGCCTTGGCCAAAACCTACTCTCTTTTATCAGTTCAATTGCATTTTTCTTCATGCATTCAGATAATAGGAAAACAATATATTCTAATTTCTTCATCCTGTAAAAAAAGAAGTATGCATGCATCAAAGACTAAGATTTTATTACTATTAAAGGAAAAAATTGTGCTTAGACAGGTCAGATGTACTGAATGCAAATTCTTCAGAGAAATATTTCACATTATAAGGAAAGGTTTATGCATGCAGTAAAAGACTGCATAAACAGGCTCTTTTTTATTCTGTGTGGTAAATGGTAATGAATTTCTTATAGAAAGGCGCTGTACCAGAAGCTATGAGACAGAATAAATTGCAGAAAGATTCTTGTTTGGTATTGGAGCTCATCAAAATAACCAGACCGTGGGCTCCGAGTCCGCAGCTGTTTTTCAGGGAACAGCAGCTCGGGCTGGAAGGTAAATAGGTGCCACCCAGTGTCAGCAAGAACTGCAGGGAGGCAGTGAGGACCCAGGTACTGCTGCTGTGGGCAGAGCCTGAAGCAGCAGCCCTGGCTGGGGGGGTGGGAGAGGAGGGGAGGCACTGATGGGTACCTGGAGGCACGCTGCAATCAGGATGAGCAGCCAGTGCTCAGGCTCCTCAGCTCTGTCACCCTTCAACTTGAAAAGCTCTGGGAAAGAGATAAGTCAGTCGGTTAAATACAATAATTATATTCCTTCAAAAGCCAGTGAAAGTGGCACATGTTCAACACGGATCTCCTCCCCCCTCCTTGATTGTAACAGAAGATTTGGGCGGATTTCCTATTCGGAGGCAATCAGTGAATGTGGAGAGCGAGGGATGAAGGATGTCCTGGCTGACCTTCAGAAGAATTATTGTTTCTTTCACTCACAGTTTCTCCCCCCAACCCCACCCCCATCTCCCTTGTACAAGGCTTGGGAGCTACAGAAGCTTTTTATTTAAAAACAGGTGCATAAGTGGAGCTCTCTGCTGCGGGGCTGTAATTGATTCAGGACAACAGTGCCCCTAATCAGACAGCTGCTTTTGTTGTCTTGCCCTTTTGTATGATGGAATAGGAAAATAGCTATCACTATGTGTCTTAGTCAGGAAATGCTCAGCAAATATTTGCCAAGTAAAGTGTGTTTAGAATATTGCTTAAAATTACACATATATTTAACACTTTCCCCTCCTTTTCTGCTCCAAACTGCCAAGTTTTAAAGGATACAATTTAATTAGCAATGGCATTTTAATACAGTTACTTGCACTGGCTGTGCACTATGCAAATAATTTATTTCATGAAAATTGTATTGGGATTGAAAGCATTTTTTCTTTCCCAAGAAGTATTATAATTCCTAATTGGCTGAAGCTTTGCTGATTTAGAAATGTCTTCAAAGAAACCAAGGCGCAAGTCAAGGGTATACGGGGATTAAAGTTACTGTCACTCTTATGCAAATGTCTGTCACCCCACACAAGGCTCACAAATTAAAACTGAAGTGCTGGTTTGCTGCTGCAGTCATGCTTTTGGAATAATCAGTAATGAATTCAGCTACATACTACAACTGTTTCCTTAAACCAGAGCATTATTCTTGTGTAAAATGCCACGTTTATATTGTTAGAGAAAATTTATACCTATTTCATGTAGCATTCAGATCTTTAAAATTGCTAGATATGAACCAAGTGCCTTTGCCTGCCCTGAAGATGAGTTTTCTATGTGCAGCACCATGCCTGTCATTACAGATTAGTGCACCATTTAGAGGGAAAGGGAATAGATAGAATAGATAAAATATTTTGCATATGCATAATCAACACAATTGCAAATAAAGGCAAAAGTCTTGGGAGGCAAAACACAGCTGTAATGCTAATGCTGAGTGAATAATTTTCTTGATGAATTTAGCCTCTGTGTCTGCTCACCAAATAGCCTCAAAGATATTATAATTTCTGAAAATTTGGTTGTTCTTTAGAATTGCTGTACTGTTTTGTGGGATTTTTTAAATTTATTTTTAACTCTTTGGATTACATTCAATTTGTGATTATAAAATATTTGCTTTCCAGCCTGCAAGCTTTATTAGGTCGTACTGTCTGTCGTATGAAGAAACCTACTGCTTGTAGAGGTATAATTCCTTTAGGAATACCCTCTACAGTTGGTCCATAGCAAAGAGTTAGAGTTTTATTTGCAGGAGTTTGTGGCATGTCGTAGGATCAGTTGCTGTCTGTATGGAAGAGAAAATTTTAACATTTATTTTGCTTTGAAGTATGCAAAAGATAAAGTGGTGGTATTCTTCCCATGGGACTATATATAAGTGCTTTGCTTACCACATTTTCATCTACTTGGTCTAGTTGGACTTGCCATTTTTCTGTGGAAGGGAATGTTGATATTTATCTGATGTCTATAATTTAATTTATAGCTAAATTGATAATAACCTCAAGCATTTTGAGAAAGGCAGTTCTTAACAGATTGTATCTGAAAAGTGTTGTTCTTTCTGTTATTACATAAGCAATTTCTTAGCAAGGAATAAGGGATTAATCATTATTTCAGAGCAGTTATTGTCCTTCCTAGAGTGATTAGATGATTGCTTGACATTTTGTGGTGGGAAGTATTTGCTTTAGTAGTAATAAGTATTATTTCACTTTACTATTCTAGTCGATGGAAGGCTCTGTGCTGAATCCTATAAGGCAGGCTGCCCTATGATTTGGGAATAATTTCTGTGATTGCCTTCCAATGGATAGCAGACAAAAGCCATTACACAAAGTATAAAGCTATGGACTCTCTGAATCATTTTCATACAGAAATAAAACCCTATGTTTTCAAAAACAGTAAATCAAAACTATGTTTCCTTGCAACGTGAAAAACACCAAGACATTAGATGGAGTTTTATTAGTTCATGCACTTTAAAACTGTTTAGATGTACAAGCACCAAACACGCTGCTGCTTTTCCCAGTAGCGTCTGTATTCTTGCATTTGCTTTTCCATAAATCCATTAGTCAGGCACCACTCTGCAACAGCCTCTCTACTGGATTTTATAAACCATTACAGTCAGTTATTCTAAAATCAGCAGTTTATGTACACCAGATAAAACCCAAACACTGTGTTTATTGGGGGCTCTGTACCAGTGGTAGGGTTGGAATCAAGCTCCCATAAATACAATATCGTTAATGGTTCTGATTGTGTAATAGTCACCCTCATAACATAATAAGAATGAATGATTGCCCAAAGCACAGCAGTGTGTGCAAAGAGCTCATTGTATGCCATTTTCTTTCATGATGCATTTGATGACGAAGTCCAACACCTTTCTAATTCCATAGCTGTTATTCAGGAGCAAGATTTGTTTTGATGTGAAGAAGGAAGGTCAGACTCACTTAACAACACCACACATTCCCCACCTGTGTCTTTGATATGTGTAGTGTGTAGATCCTGATTAACAAATCATGTTGCTTAAGACCTTATTTGAGAAAATAATCTGGATGCTGCTTTTATATGTCTTTGATATGCACTGGGTTTTTGGGAGCTATTAGTAGTAAATCAATCAAATGGATTCCTATATCACCTGTAATTTTTGTTGTCCATTTTATGGCTTGCTGTCACCTGACCCACAAGCATTCATCTCCAGTGAGGTAGGCAGTGCTGCTTTTTGTCCAGCAGCTCTCTCGGGTCTGAGGGATTTGTTTGGAGTTAAAGTGGTCCCTCATAGGACCAGCTTTAACTAACCAACTAAATAACATTGTAATTTTTTAATTAACACTACACTAAATAAAGCATATTGGCTATTGTTACTCGTCTCCATCACAAAGCAACAATTTACAAACTGGAGCTACCTTTCTTTTCCCCTCTGAAAGTAATTATTAGCTACAAAGCTGTAATAAATCTTAAATCACTTAAGGATACCTCAAGGGAACTTTCATGTTTGTAAAACCTTATCAATCAGGGTTTAATTTTGCAAAAACTCCAAATGAACCATAGTTTTTTATTTCAATTTTATTTCGGAGCAATGAAACTGAGAAAGTTTGAGTTAAAGTTTCTTGTCAGGGTTTGTTGTTTTGTTTTTTTTTTTCTTAATACCGTTATCAGTGATATCTCAGATATCAGATATAGTAAATTGGTTTTCTTTAATTCCCAGACTGCACAACACTTAAACTGATATGAAGAAAAGATACATGTTTTATATCCTTCTTACAACTAATTAAGTGTACCCCGACCATTACTTGTTTATGTTACTCTGTATTTGAGGATTGTCTGCCAGGAGTAGAGAGATAACTTGCAGAAGGAGATGCATTGTGCTGTCAGCAGTGGCCAAGCTCATGCCAGGCTCAGACAGCCCTGGAGCTGCAGGCATTTCATGTGCTCACAGAGGTTACTGCAAAGATGGGCACCTTGGGTCATTGCATTACAGCAGCAACTTTATTTTACATACTACAGATCTACAGATGTATTTCTTTACACATGTGAAGGTGCCTTGAAATACTTCTGCTAGAGGACTCAAAATACACTGTAAGGGTGAGTAGGAAGAAATCTCTTGAAAGGAAAATTGTCACAGAACATTGGCAAACACTGTAGTTACAGTGATCAAGGGAAAAATGCAGCATCTTTATTCCTGAATACTTAGTTTACTTAGTTTTATCTCAGTAGAATGTACTTTTTTTTTTTTTTTCTTTTTTTTTGTTCTGTGAATTAGGTCAGAGTTTTCAAAGTTGATGTATTTGTTCTCTTAACAACTGAAAAGAACTTAACCTAATGGCACTTTTGGTAGGACAGACAAGGTTAAAAACATTCATGGGGAGAGCAGAGTTATAGCCTATCTAGAGAATACCTGTTGGAATAGTGGGGGTTGTTTTAGCAAGGAGATTGTAGTTACAAGCCATAAGTTGCTGTTACTGTCTTTCTTCTTGTTCAAGAGGCCTCTGGACAATGCTTTCAAGCACATGGTGTGATTCTTGGGGCTGTCCTGTGCAGGGCCAGGAGCTGGACTGTCACCCTGTTCTTTTGAGTTCCTCCAAGCCTTCTGATGTTTACATTCTTGTAATGAACTTTCTCACGCACTTTTCTGTAAATGCTTATTGTTTTGCATTCTTTTCTGGAGGAGGAGAAATTTGATGGATTGTTGGTTTCTCCAGTGTCATTGGAGAGGTGTCACTGTCATCCTCCAATCCACTGTCACTTTTGGAAATGTATAAATGTTGGAGTCAGAATTAAACTTTCACTCTTTTTACCTTGGAGATTCCAGTGTCCATGTAGTTTTATTTTGTGTCCTAAAGTGACACTGGACTTTGATAAGCCTTGTGGATCTCTTCCAACTCAGGACAGTCTATAGTCAGTGAATCCACTAAGTTAGTACCAGTTAGTACCTGTGATGAAAAACAAAAGCAAATGGGTTGTGGAAGAGGAGGTGTGCAAGTGCTAATGCACTCATTAAGGTATATGATGACTATCAGAGGTATAAAGATTAATTGGCATACCTGCAGAAGGAAGAGAACAGCCCCATAGCATGGTTCAGGTGGGCACAGCCTGGAGCTGTTGATTTCTCATGTTCTAAGTCTTTCATGTCCATTGCCTCTCTGCTCCTCTGCAGCAAGAAAAATGTTCTCTTTGAGTGAGTGGTATGCATTGTAAACAATTTTTTGTTGATTACCTAATCTGAAACTGAAGCTGTTACTGTAAATCTTACT